ACTGTGAACATACGCAGTCAGGTAGGTAGCGCATAGGCGATTCGTAATAATTGGTTGTTAGTCACGCCCGCGAATGCCAAAATCGCCATCAATCCGGTTGATCAGTTTTGTCATGCATCGTTACATAGGCCACAATCAGATTTTAAAAATAGTCTGCCAAACAGATACAATAAATGAGATGATTTATTTAGATTGGGAAGGAATATCACTCACGTTGCACGCATATGAATACGGAGATGTGAAACGATTTTGTTTATATTAAAGTAGAAAATGCCAGCTTGTTTCTGAATAATTGTTTTATTACGCCGCCAGTGACGTTTGGCTCTGCAGCCCCGCTGCTCACGCACAGTCGTACGTGCGTTACAAGTCCGTATTTTGGGTTGAAGCAAGCGTCGCTTTCTACAGGGTTTTATCGATAGCCGCACTCCTCGAGTGAGAGGCAACAAAATCGTCGATGCCTTCCTTTCACGAGTTACGAGGATGACGTGGCTAAGAATCCGAGAGACCACGGCGTCGAACTACATTGGTGCTACCTTTCGTACTAAAAAAGCTGGAATAATATATTATAAACTAGAGCACTCGGAGAGCACAGACCTCCGCCAAGGCAGCTTAATTCTCTCACTGTGAAATTTTTTATTAATTTCAATTAATTAATTAAATAATGAATTGGATCCGGATCACCACCAAAATGTCATCATTCTAAGTTAGCCCCATTTCTGGCCTATCCTGAAAATTTTATTAATTAATTAATTCGATTCGGATCACCACCAAAATTGTAATCAATTCGAAGTTACACCTCCATTTCTGACACTATGCTGAAAATTTTATTAATTAATTAATTAATTAATTGATCCGATCACCACCAAAATCTCATCAATTTTAAGTTAGGCGGACTTCTGACCTATCTGAAAATTTTATGACAATCCGTCCATAACTTTTTCAATTAGGCTGTACACGCACAAACCAACAAACACACGCCGGTGAAAACATAACCTCCTCTCTGCTGCCTCAGGAGGCCAGGCCACTGCTGCGTCGTGTTATGCGCTCAGTGTACATTAGAATATAGCTAGATTCCTTGCGAAAATTTTGCTCGGACAACACAGATATCCGTCCGTGCATAACCAATAGTAGTTCGCCACACTGCGCAGGATATGTGGTTTTGTCGCATATTTTACATGAATTTATTAGGAGATAAGTCAGAAATACTCAATTAACATTAGTATACATGCTGATCTTGCATTTATTGTTACCTCGTGGCGGATTACGATTTTTGGCTCACCTTGACATCGTCAAGTTGAGCTATTGCCATGGGTCGTCGTCCGTCGTACGTCCGTCCGTCCGTCAACATTTGGTTTCGGTCAACGATACTCCAGGAACCGGTTTGACCCACATGTTTGTGAAATGGGTGTATTGTTACTGCTATGCTCCCATATATGGAACGTCCTATTTTGAAGTACGCCAGTCGACGTACTTCGAGCCACGGGCAATTTTTGGCAAAACATGGGGAATATGCCATTAGTCAGTTCAGGTTCAATGGATTTTGCTCATTTTTGGTATGTGAATGAATAAGGGCTAGGGGTGTTGATATTTAAAAAAAAATTATGCAAATTAGGTAGGGTTTGGCAATTATATAGCATAATTATATAAAACACAAACAGTCTGTGGTGTCACACTCGTCTGGCTCGTTTACAAGATTTCATTGAGCAATATTCTTTTAATGCAAAATTGGTATTTCCTTCCACTCTGCCGATAAAACGTCTATATTAGAGGTAAAAATGTTACAATGAAACATGTCGGAGCGCAGCATAACCTATTTATTTGAAGCGCCATCGCTACAAAGCGGGTATAGCGCCATCTACGGTCACAAATGTGATTCATTTTGGTTTATAAATTATTATTGCGATATACAGATGGCAATCGTTTCTATAATGTACGTCGATGGTTACTCACTCATTTGTGTCCTTTTTTGTGGTGAGCTACAGTGTCATTGACACTTTCATTGATAATATATTTGTTCGCAACGCGTTAAATTGGCACATGCCATCAGAATTTCGTAGAGGCAACGTCGTAAAACTTTCGACTAATTTCGCCCAAACTATCTCGAAAACTTCGCTGTTTCAAGCTCGTACGAACCTGCCAACGAGTTTCACGGTGTTTAATGAGAATAAATACACATTTTCAAGACATCAGTTTTATGCGTTGGTGCTTGTGCAGCGACAGTGAAACTCGATTGGACTCGACAGATGATTGATGTCACGTTGACTTGCCATTCGACTGTCCCACCCACTCGGACCCGGCGTGGTCTTCCTACGACTAACGACCGGAGGGAGGACAGGCTTCAGCGGGCAGAACCAGCATCGATCGTCCTGAAAATCGACACATTCGACTCGGCGAGGTGATTGTTCACCTGGAGGTTAACGAAGTGAAAGTTCACAGTAGCGTCAGCTTTAAACGATAGGCTGATTTGAACTGTTATATATTAAAACGATAAATTCATAAGTGTGGGTGTATGCGTCCACAGCACGTGATCGGCATCGATCAGAAATAGACTCTGTCCACATGATGTAGTACTGTGTATGTTCGAATAGAACAGTGCTACAATTTTTGAATAACCTTATTAGGTTTGAGACAATCTTTGTCTCATTTGATATGTTGTTTCATTTTTTAGCTCATCTGACATGGTTCAGATGCAGCTTGTAGAATCGCATGATCGCCCGTCCGTCCGTCCGTGCGAGCGTCCGTCCCTCCGTCAACAGTTGGGCACAAATCTTAACCGCTCGACGTAGGGTCACGATATTCGGACCGGGGGGGGTAATCCGAAAACGATTGTGGATGTCGAAGCTGGGGTCAAAGGTCAAAGGTCAAGAGGTGTAAAGAAGGGAACATTCACTCCTTAACTTAAGGTATAGGGAGGAAATGCAGAATTGCGGCACAAGATCTAAACGGCTCGACCTAGGCTTGTGTGATAGTCGGTGTATAGCATCATGGTAGGAAAACCATCACTGTGCCGAAATTGGAGTCACAGGTCAAAGGTCAATGGCACAGGGCAGATTTTTAGACATTTTCTGAGGACATGGTCTGACGGAGCGATTGAAAAACTTTTTTGTTTCAGGCGGTGACCTATGCATTTTATGGCTTTATTTGAAAGGACCATGATATGTACTTCTGCTGACATGTGAAGAGTAAGTGTCCGGATAAACCTTTTTGACCCTCAAGAGAAGGTTAAAACATGGATTTTGTTTACTGTCTTTTAGAAAGATTTGACTGCCGGGTTTGTGCTAGTAGAATGTCTATACATGCCTGGATGTATGAGGCTACAATGTCACAGTGAAATTTCAAAAGCTAAATTTGGTTGAAGAAAAGGTTTATGCTCCTTAAATCGTATAATTTCTATGGCATTCTGTACTGTCAGTATGTTACATGTAACGTATGCCACTGCCAGTGCCACTGCCAGTGCATGGGTGTGTGGTGCCGGTACTGTGTAGTTTTTGCCTGCGTTTAATTGGTTACAGGTAGGCAGCTCTCTATTTCAGCCTGTAGGCTTGCGTAGGAAATTGGACGAGTGCTTACCTATTCTGTCTTGGAAATAATTGCGTTGCTACTACGTACGATGGGAGCTTCCATCTTTAATCTGAAAACACTTAAACGTACGCACCATCTGCGTGGCAACTTTCATAAGCGATCCCAACAAACATTCCTTTGAGAAGGTTCCTGATACCGATCCTGTGCATTCCACTGTTTTCGGCGTGTATGTGAACACATTTGGGACTAACAGGGTTTACTAGAATCCACCACTCCACCACAGAGTCACCGCAGTAGACGCTAGATGAGCGCTGTCGCTGCCGTGGCACTTGGTTTGTATCAAGCATATTGTTTGTTTCAATTGATATCCTGCGGTTTATAGACATTTCTAGGTCACTCCCCCAAACTACATTTGTCAATCCCTGTGTCACAAATATTCTAGTATTTTTTACATGATCTTTCGGTCATAGTCTCTGACTAACTGAGAAAAATTGTCGTTAGTCTGATTACCACAAAAAGAAATCAACAAATTAAGCTCGCACACATAACCTATTGGCATCATTCTAGTTGGCCAAAATTGAACCCCCTCGAAGCTCATCAGTATGGACCCCCGCTGTTTTGAATGGTTAGCACAAGTGGTCAAAGCTACACAGCGCGATGAGAGCCCTGATCTTGATGTACCTAGGCGTTCGGGGCGAACTAAGAAACTTACTGAGAAGGCTAAGAGCAGCAGGCAGTCAGATCTCCTCCAGGATTGACACAGAGTGATTAACAATATCTTGAGAGCAGTAGAGAGTACTGAAACACTCCTCAAAGTCCGTGTGCTAGACTTCGACGAACTCGGCTACAGAAAGGCGCAATTATCCTCGATGTCAAGGGACCTTCACGGCATCAGGGCTGAACTCGGAGAAGTTCAACCAGCCGAAGTTGATTGGGAGGTGGAGCACACGCTTGAAGAAACTGCAAATCTGGTGGTCAAAACAGTTTCGAAGATAGTCTCGGCACTGTCAGCTCACGAGAAAGACTCCAGATCAAGATTGTCTCGACATTCGGTCAGATCGAGATCATCCAAAGCGTCCACAGCATCGTCAGGACGTATCGACGCGGCAGCAGAAGCTGCGGCGTTACAGGCACAGCTTGAGGCTCAACGCGCGGAAAATGCACGTCAAGAGCAGATTGACAAGCTAGAGGCTGAAGAAAAAGCTCGAAGATCAGAAGCTGAAAAGCAGATGAGTCAGCTGCGTCGACAGCTGGAGGAGGAAAGGTTGGCCTCTAGACTCAAAGCTGAAAGAGCCAAACTGAGGGTATACGATGAGGTGGAGCATCTGTCATCACCGCGGGCTCCTACTACACTCCGTCTGGCAGAGAAAAATCGGCTGCGAACAAGTCAAGCCTCAGAGAAAGGCTAAACCCAGAGGCACCAACCTTCCAATCGCAGAGTCAACCACGACGCGCTAGTTGAAGCGCTCACACAGACTATGGCCTTGAGTAGACTGCCGGTGCCAGAGCCTCCCATCTTCTTCGGAGATCCGCTCCGATTCCCAGACTGGCTTTCTTCTTTCTCTTCACTGATTGAAAGCAACAACCTTCCCCCTGGAGAGAGAATTCATTACCTCAAACGTTATCTGGGAGGACCAGCTAGAGAGGCAGTTAGCGGATTCTTCCTATTAAGGAGCGAGCACGCCTACCAGAAGGCCAAGGAGACTTTACAAACTCGATTTGGAAATCCCTTTGCAGTATCTGAGGCCTTCAGGACAAAGCTAGACTCCTGGCCCAGGATAGGCAACAGGGACGGTGGCAGTCTGAGAAATCTGTCAGACTTCTTGAGACAGTGTGTGGTAGCTTCAGCCGAGATCAGAGACCTTGAGATCTTGAATGATATGCGGGAGATTAGGAAAATTGGTGACAAACTGCCGGATTGGCTACAGCACCGGTGGTATCGAAGCATCGTTAGAACAAAACGGGAAAGGGGTCGCTACCCCTCATTTGAAGAGTTTGTTGACTTTGTGTCTGAAGAAGCTGACATCCTGAATGACCCCATCGTAGTTTCTGTTGACAGCAATAGAAAGCCGAAGGATTTCAGCCAGATATCAGCAACTAGAACCAAGAAGCCTTTCGAGCCAAGAAGAATGGTTATGACCACAGAGAGCACCGCCGCAACCTCTACAACAGGAATCACCTGCATCTTCTGCAAACGACGTAGTCATGCAACGTCAGAGTGCAGAGCCTTCGGTCGAAAACCGATGTCAGAGCAACAGGACTTCGTGAAAGGGGAAAGACTTTGTTTCGGCTGCTTGCAGAGGGGTCACATGTCGAGGAATTGTCCCAGGAAGAGGGAATGTAATAGATGTAGCAGGAAGCACCCGACAAGTCTACACGACGACACCAGGCTGCACTCGAGCAGCGACAAAACTGAGAATCGTGCGGAGCCACCCAAGGCAAAGAACAGGAATCCCGCGGAACCGCCCCGGACAAACGACTTGACCAGTAACGAGCCATCTGCCAACGGCACAAGCCACGAGGTATCTTCCTGTTCGGACCAGGCTATAACCTCGATGGTTGTTCCGGTCTACGTATCCAGTCGAGAGGCCCCGGATAAGGAAGTCCTTGTATACGCTCTTCTGGACACAATGTCGGATACAACATTTGTGCTCGACAGCATTGCAGACGAGCTCCACACATCCTCAGAGTCTGCTGTCCTGCGTCTAACAACGATGTCTGATCAAAACAGTATCATCAGGTGTCGGAGATACAACAATCTGACTGTACGAAGCTGCAACTCACGGGACAAGATTCCTCTACCATCGACATTTACACGAGACTACATTCCATTGGAAAGGGACCATATTCCAACACCAGAAGTAGCACGCCAGTGGCCACACCTGCATCACATTGCAGAGTTGCTGACCCCAAAACAGACTTGTCCAATTAGATTGCTAATAGGTTACAACTGCTCTCGTGCTCTGGCACCTGTAACGTGTATAACTGGGAAGAATGGTCAACCCTACGCTGTTGAGACAGTTTTAGGCTGGAGCGTAGTTGGCGGAACCAGACCTAGAGCCACAGAAGAAGCCTTTGATGCGTTTGGACAGTCTCATCGTGCCCATACGAGAGTCGTACAGGACAACGTTGGCCACATAGAGAAGACTAACGTCACCTACGTATCGAAAAATGAAGTTAGAAGTCACAACAGAGGAACTTCTGCAACTTATGGAGAAAGACTTTAAAGAGGATGGCCACGACTCGATGTCACAAGATGACTTCAAGTTTTTGCGAATTCTCCTGGAAGAGATCCATCAGAGAGATGACGGTTACTACGAGAATGGTACTACTACGACGGACGCGCACTCGCCGTCGACGGACGCGCACTCGCCGTCGACGGACGCGCACTCGCCGTCGACGGACGCGCACTCGCCGTCGACGGACGCGCACGCGCCATCGACGGACGCGCACTCGCCATCGACGGACGCGCACGCGCCATTGACAGACGCACACGCGCCATCGACGGACGCGCACGCGCCATTGACAGACGCGCACTCGCCATCGACGGACGCGCCATCGACGGACGCGCACTCGCCGTCGACGGACGCGCACTCGCCGTCGACGGACGCGCACTCGCCATCGACGGACACAGAGTTGGATTATCCTGATATGAAGAATATCTTCTGGACGGACTCGAAGGTTGTGCTAGGGTACATCCAAAACCGGTCCAAGAGATTCCACATGTATGTTGCAAATCGTGTACAGACAATACGTCAGAGTTCAGACCCCGATCAGTGGAACTATGTTTCGACACACGAGAACCCAGCGGATCATGCATCACGGGGCCTCACTGCTGAGGAGATCGAATCGTCTAACTGGCTCAAGGGTCCCGCTTTCCTATGGGAGAAGGAGATATCACTACAGAAGATAGACGTGAACGTAGCAGCAGAAGACATAGAGGTCAAATCCACCGTCAGAGCTGCTCAGAAATCCAGCTTCACCTCATTCGAAGAAAGAGTAAGCAGATTTTCGACGTACAACAGTGCTGTCAAAGCAGTATCTGTCATCGTAAACTGTTCGCTCAGAAGAGCAGGAATCGAATTGTCAAAACTGGAGACGCAGAAGGTTGCTGAGAAAAATCTGATTTGCGTGATCCAGGAAGAGAGCTTCCCTGAGGAGTTGACAAGATGTCGGAAGGGCTCATCAGCCCTATCAAAGACAGGCAGTCTGAAGGATCTTGATCCGTTCATCGGTAAGGATAACCTCCTACGGGTGGGAGGGAGACTGATGAAAGCGCCAATGATGTACGGAGTCAAACACCCTATTATCCTCCCTAGACACAGTCACTTGTCCAGTCTGATAGCTTCACACTGCCATCAGAGGATAACACATCAGGGGCGGCATCTGACAATTAACGACATAAGGGCCAGTGGATTCTGGATACTCGGATGCAGATCAGTTGTTTCGTCCATGATAAACAAATGTGTCAGGTGCATTCGTGCCAGAGGTAGCACGCTGACGCAAAAGATGCCCGATCTTCCGAAAGAGCGCATAGAACCCTCACCACCTTTTACATACTGTGGACTGGATTGCTTTGGGCCATATATTATCAAGGAAGGCAGGAAGGAGTTGAAGAGGTACGGACTCATAATTACCTGCCTGGCCATGAAGGGCGTCCATATCGAGATGCTAGACGACATGTCCACAGACTCCTTCTTGAACGCTCTGCGATGCTTCATCGCATTAAGAGGAAGAGTACGTCTGATTCGATGCGACCAAGAAACTAACTTTATCGGAGCAAAACATGAACTCAAAGAGTGTTTGAAAGAACTGGACTCTGACCACATCGTATCCAAGCTCAGGACTACAGTTCGAATGCGAGTACAAGTTTAACTCACCATCGGCTAGTCACATGGGCGGCGTGTGGGAACGCCAAATCAGAAATGTGCGCAACATCCTGAACAACATTCTGGATGAATCGGGTATACAACTCACAACATCATCACTGCGCACATTCTTGTATGAAGCCATGGCAGTCATCAACAGCAGACCGCTGACTGTTGAAAATCTGGGAAGTCCAGATGGACCAACACCACTAACTCCAAATAATCTACTCAAGATGAAATCCAGAGTCGTAATGCCTTCCCCAGGGAAGCTCGTGAAAGAAGATCTCTACCTGCGGAAAAGGTGGAGATGGGTGCAACACTTAACCAACCTGTTCTGGACACGTTGGAGAAAGGAGTACTTGCACGCACTGCAGACTCGATCAACTTGGCAAAGACCACAGCGAAATGTGGAAGTAGGTGACATTGTCATCCTAGCAGACGATGGAGTGAGGTCAAACTGGAGAACTGCCAGGATCGTGGAAGCGTTCAGGAGCGAAGACGGTCTTGTCCGCAAGGCTAAGCTCTTAATGTCTACATCCGAAATGGACAAACGTGGTCGACCTCTCGGTAAACGAACCATCCTGGAGAGACCATTCATAAGCTGGTAGTCCTAATCCCCAATTTGAAATCATCATGAATGATTTGGGTGGGAGTGTGCGTGCCGCTAACTCAGGAGGCCAGGCCACTGCTGCGTCGTGTTATGCGCTCAGTGTACATTAGCATATAGCTAGATTCCCCCTCCCGAAAATTGCTCGACACACAGATATCCGTCGCCGTGGCATAACATATAGTTTCGCCACTACAGCAAGGTCTTTGTCGCATATTTTACATGAAATTTTCAGGAGATAAGTCAGAAATACTCAATTAACATTAGTAATACATGTGACTTGCATTTATTGTTACCTCGTGCGGATTACGATTTTTGATAATATATTCGTTCGCGACACGTTAAATTGGCACATGCCATCAGAATTTGTAGAGGCAACTCGTACTTCTTGAATATTTTCGCCCAACTATCTGAAATTCGCTGTTTCAGCTCGTTACGAACCGGCTGCCAACGAGTTTCACGGTGTTTAATGAATAATACATTTTCAGACATCAGTTGATGCGTTGTGCTTGACAGGCGACATCCTGCCAACCCTTAGCGGAAGGTATATGAATGTGAAGCCATGGAGAAATTGGTAGGCGTGGCGATACATTTATAATATATTATAGAAGTTTACCAAGTCATCATTCAACAGATAAGATTTCCACG